AACCACAGTCATCCACTGAGCCAACAACCAATGGGACCGGCCACTATTTCAGAAAAGAATCTGATCAGTTCGTGGACCTATCTTAAACACGTTGGTTTCCCTAAATTTGTTGTAACTTTAACACTCAAAGACTTCTACATTCTGCACATTTCTTGTTTTGTTCTCTCTCTCTCTCTTTGGGGGCTCACATGAGGCGTAGTTAGACGGCGAGTATTTTGGCCTGGGCTCTGTTACAACAATTTGGCGACGCATTGCACGATGGTATCTCGGCTTGGGCCTACCTTACAACACGAACGATTTAGCTAAAACGATTTGAATTAAATCTGGGGTACCGAGGGAGAAAAATCAACTACTAGTTCTGTCGTATGCTTATTAGTATTGGCCGCAAGCGTATTCGTTCATTCTCTATCCAGTTTTTCCTGCGTTTTGTCACTAGAAGAAAACACAACTTCGGGAGCATAATAAATTCGTCGGAGGCGCACGCTTACGTTTACTTGGAACAATCTAAGGAGGAGTATAGATTATACAGGCTTCCTTCGTCTGCCCACGTGAGACTCCCTCAACTACCAAGGGCATGTCAAACCTCAGCTTGTCAAACCCGAAATCTAGATGATTCTAGTTCACCAAATTATTCGGTTGACTTCAAAAGTAAACTGATAACCTTTTCCTAGGTAATACATGGCTACGTTGTATCAGTAAACCTGGTAGTTCAGTAGGGTTAGACCTAAATGACGGCAATACGGACGTAAGACACGCGTCGGGCGGAGATTTTATAACCTAACGGCCAGAAAGTCCGATCTTGCACTCAACCAGCTTGATCTGACCCTGCCACTAGTAGATTAGCGGAGAAGTAAGCGTGATATCACCCCAGGCTTCACCTCCTGGTCACAGTCAGAAAATGTCTTGAAACTGACATGGTGTACCGAACGGTACGACTTGGAATACCGACAACCAATGGCATCAGTAACACGCTCTCCACACAGGGGTTCAGGCTGCGGTGGATCCTTCATATTGGGACTGTCCTCAAAGTAGATGGAGGCCTGAATTACTTAAAACGAGCTTCTTTAGCAATGTAAAGACCAATGACTCTAAACCGCGTTAGTTACTACAACGGCGTTCATTTGCTGTAGTTACTTTATCACCACAGCAACTCAACGCTACTCCTATCCCGCCCCCCTACGCCTCCCTTTCCTAATCAATGGTTATTCTTGCCGAATAATACGGACGAGCTATGCATAGCGCTGTGTGAGCTAAAACTCACTTGCGTAACTGTCCGTTTCTGCAACTATGTCTGTGTCGCTTATCATTTCTGAAAATGTGGCAATAGCGGTTCAACA